TTGAGTGCAACCTTTACTGTATGCGAATGTGGCCCACGATGAAATTTAGTTTGACACCCCTGCTCTAGAGCTAACCAAAACTAGATTTACTAACATGTGACTCAACCACAGGCTTACACCCAAGCTGCAGCTAGACTTCTCAACATCTCTGAACATTAGACTTTGACAAAAACCTGACTAATATAGCTGCTTGCAGTAAATCCAAAAATAATCTATCAGTTTAGAACCCTACGCTTTTCACAGTGTGATGTATGAGCAAAACATAATACACTGCAGTGACATGCAGCATAGGTGTTTATACTGAACAGACAGACACGGTTCTTGAAAGAACACTGACTCAATTTCAGCAATGACAAAAGCTTCTATTTTGAACCATATGTGCAGTGTTCACGTAGCTATTTGATTGAGGAACAGTGCAGGCATGAGGTAATTGATACGGCTTCAACTCTGCATGCCTTGCTATTTTTTGTGTTTTGGCTGAAACATCAATAATGCATTTTGATGTTGAACAGAGCAGCTTGTGAGCATTTCTTAGAATACACAGCATTATTTCCCTCAAATGATAACTAAGGCAGAGTGTGTTCACGGCTGTAGGAAAAAGCTCAGTGTGCGGTTGCTTCACACCCTGAGCTCTTCAGAAGAAGAAAGCTTTACAGATCTGTAAATTCAGAAATGAACCACTTCCTTGTGTATAATACAGCTGCTACCTCAGAGAACAACTGCCCAGTCTGAGCAGAGTAGGTTCATTCCATTCTCGCTACACACATACAGAGCTACTGTTCATTTTAGAGATGAAAGAGAATGCCTTTTTTTTGTGTGTGTGTGAACGCTGCTTTAGTCTTTTATCCTTTATTAAAATCACAGCAAGCTGTAGACTTTGACTCCATAGTGTCGGTAAGTGGCTGTGGACTCAATGTGCAATAGTTTCACTTGATTTCATTTTATGTTAGAGTATAAAACATGTTTCTTCCTTTTTAAAATGTGTCAAGCTCTATGTTAATAATTTAAAGGGCTTTAAGATGTGGAAGCCTTTAACATCAGTCTATAACTCTCAGCAAGATTGTAGAAGTCTTCTCAGTCCCTTACCTCCCACTATCTCATCCTTTCTCTCGCTCATAGAATAGATATCCACAATGAATTATTAAAGCACTTTAAAGTCTGCCACCGTTTCTATATTACTTAAGCTGGGCAAAGACACTATGCATTATGGATCAGCCCACTGAGATGAATGTTATTCACATTCAATCAAAACCATTTCCCCACATCTTTTAAGCAGATGTTTTTACAAATTGCTGGTTTGTTTCCGAGTCCTCGAGAGCCGTGCTTGCACTTTTTTGGCAATGAAAGACATGCAGCAATGATTACGCAGCGACACTTCATTTCTGCCCAGGCCTAGTAAAAGCAAGTGATTTGTGGATGTGTCAAATGTTTTGGATATTGTGGAGTTTCATATCTTGTGCCAAGGGTGCACCCAGCATAAGCTGCACATAAAAACATTTATTGTTCTTATTTTATGCTTCATGACTTTAACACACTTCAATATTTCTTGCCTCTTTGTGAATGCTCGCTCCCATTAAAGTCATCAAAGGCAGTGCTGTCAAGAAATATGTTTTAACGGCCTACAATGTTGGCATCTGCAAGGAACGAAGAAGGTTTTGAGTCAGTGTGACATGTGCCATCAGAAGGCACGTAAAGTGCAGTGGCCATATGCTGATGAGAGTCCTTGGAGGAGGATGCTATTTAACATTCCATCCCTGCTCCACAGGGGGCTCGGGAAGCAAACACACTCTTCCTTCTGACTTAGTCTATGTGTCCATCTGATGAGCGACAGATAGGGAAAGTGAGAGGAAGTGTGGTTGGGGGAAAAAAGGCTTTAAGATGAAGGCTGCCTAGCACATCTGTTCATGTGTGTAGGATGATGTGACAGAGGAATGTCTCACAAGGTCATTCAAGAACATGCTGTACCTATCAAATGCTGCTTTCAAAACAAAGAATTGCAAGACATCTCAGTAATTATTTTTAGGTGGCAGAAAACATTCATTTAGTTTAAGGAACGTTTTATGTATTCATGGACTTATGTACTCATATAACTAATGGACATTGCCTGTCTTTATCATGCAGTATATAGCAGTACATTGGTGACCAAACCACCAGCACGAATTTTAATAAAATCTGTAGTTTGCAAAACAATAGTGGCCTGTGTTCATCAGACCTGTAAGTATAGCAAAAGAAAATGGCAGATGAGGAAGAGGAGAGCAGAAGGCAGCCGCAGCTGGCTGATGGATGGCTGGATGAGGAGACTGAGAGCAGCGAAAAGGTGGGAAAATGGGCGAAAAAATCAAACGGAAGAGGAGTTGGCCAGATAAGACGTGAGCTCCTTCTAATGGCAGAATTATGACCCTGCTCCATCTGCCACTCAATCATAACCAACCAATTGGCGGCGGTTCCGTTAGACACTCCCATCTTCACTCACCGCCAAATTAAAGGAAATCAAATGTCAAGGAGATGTGGGGACATAGTTTGGGCTCGGATTGTGTCACGTTCCCAGTATGTGATGCTGCTTGTGGCTGTGGTGAATTTATTTGTGATCCAATATTAAGGCATAATTAAAGGGAGATGGAGCCTTTCCTTATGTCTTTCAGTGATCAGTCATTTCAATTTTGAGTCACGCCACCTCTTTTCTCTCTCAAACCACTTGTTAGCGAAAGCTGTCACATCCTGATCAGACTTAAAACAGAAGGAATCTTGCATCCTGTGCTTCTGCCAATACAACAACATCTGTGTGACTGGCTGTGTGTGTTTGTGTGTGTGTGTGTGTGTGGCTTTCCTGTTTTCTTGATTTGGGAAATTGAAGTTTGGCCTGTTGCACAGATCAAATCAGGAAATTCGTATTCCCTGATACGATATCTTGGAATAAACTTTGTTTGCTTCCTCTGCCTTTTTGACCTGTCTGTATATATCTGCTTATACTGGCTGTGTAGATGCTGTCTTTTCATATTTTCTTACCTTGTCTCCTTTACCTTTCCTAGTCCTCCTCGGCCATAAAATGGTGCCTCTGTCTTTTGCCCGCCTGAGCTGGATGAAGCCACGGGTTGGTGTATTTGAATGATTTTGTATGCAGCGACAGCACCATTCTGTTTCATTGCAGGAGCCTTCGCCTTATCTCCTTAATGGATTATGAGCAAGGGAACAAAAACAGAGGGAGGCAGAGTGAGAATGATTGGACTCCCTGCAAAGGGCCGGCAGGAAACGGACTGCAGCCAGATAAATAAAACACTCTGCCTTTACATTTCCTCTGCCCCTGAATCACACATGTTATTAGGAAAGAAGACAGCTTGTAGTCAAGAGTTATTTGAGCTTCTGTAGTTTTTGCATTATATTGAATCTGCTTGCTGCTGTTGGCATAGACACGCTTTGTCATTTCCGCTGCAGCTGGCCCGTAGTTGTGTGTTCATTTGGGTTACTAAACACTCTTTTTTTTGCTGCAACTGAATGCTTAAGTATCCTTAGGTGTGAAGCCCCTCAGATAGCCAGTCTGAATGTCAAAGCCAAATATTTTAAGTGTTGCTTCAAAACCTGTCAGTTGCAGAATGACTACATTACTTAGAAAAGGACTTCATATTTTATAAAGATTAATACAGTAACACATTATGCATCTTTCTGGAAAAAAAAAAAAAAATCCGATTCATATGAAAGCATAAGAGAATTATTGTGCTAAATATTCATAAACAGCAGTGATCAGTCTTTGAAGTTTGAGGGGTCTTTCATGTAGCAAAAGCTGTTATAGCAGAATATGTTGTAATTTTCTTAACGGTAGAGTAAAGCGCTCTAAGGCTGCACCATCGCACTTCCTTAATGGCAAAGGGTTAAAATGATGAACCTGTTTGCTGGTAGTGCCAAGAGACCTCTATTTGAAATGGTATTGATCAAGAAGAGACAGGTCTGTTTGAAATGATTTGACCTTTTGGGACTTTGAGTCCGACATGATGCTGTTGATATTCTGTGCTGCCTGGGGTTAAATCCAATTTACTTCCGTTTATTTAGGAGTACGTCTTGCTCAAGGCCATAGACCATGTCATTTATTTTTCATTTAAAGGTTAGCTTCCGATAATTCTATCCCCAAGACATGCGTGTGTATGTTTACAGTATATGATCCCTGCCAGCTATGGTGTTTACACTTCCAACTGGTATTTCTTCACATTATTCCCTGTACAATTGTGATTGAACAGAGGGGAACAGGAGGTATCTTGGTGGTGAGACTAAGTTAGCAAAATCAGGGCTTTAACACAGCATTAGATTATATTTCCAAAGAAAGACATTGTCAGAATGTGAAATGGGTAGTGTGGTCTGATGCAGAAGCTTCAGCTCATTGTGGAAATGTTTCTTTTAAATCTATTGATCTGCAGTGTTGGCAAGTTGGTGCAAAGTGGCCTCCAGTGAGCTAACTAAATACTTTGGCTTGGAAATAAATTGTTGTTTTTTGGGTTTTTCCGAGCAACTCAAAAACACTTCACCCTGTAGCGTTTCTTCAGCTTTATCTCTGACCCGCTCTGTGGGAGACTTTTGAAGAGCTCTGATGTTTTTGTCATGATTTGTGTACAGTAGTAGAGGATGAATCCAATTCAATTATTTTCTGCCAAACAGTTCTGTGTGTTCCATAAGTACTCCAGAGGAAAAAAAAGCATTTGTGAGAGCAATAGCCTTCGGGGGTTGCGCCAAATGAAAATGCTTTTTTTTCTAACCCCCCACACCTCACTCAAGAAGTGTTTGCTTGTTTTCTGTTACTATTCGCTCTCTCTATCTCTCTCTCTATCTCTCTCTCTCTCTCTCTTTCTCGTTTTTTACCTTTGATTTGAACTCTGACATCCAAGTCTGCCCCAGGATGTCTGTCACAAACTGCAGTCCAACGTTGTGACAATGCTTTTTTTCTTCCCGTGCCTTTTATGACCTTCTTTTTCTTCCTCTTTCTGTTCTTTTTTTCTGTTTTTTTCCCTTTCAAGGTCTGGCGCACCTGACGTTAAACGACCAAGGTATGGGTTCATTCCGTTTTATTTTGGTTCTGTTTTTTTTTTTAGAGGAATTGACTCAGCCTCTTCCCCCCAACCCCTCCGAAACTGCCACTTTTCCTCACAATTTCCTCCTCTGCTTTTTACCTTTTGGTACCATGTCCCTCCATTACCTCCCAAAACCTCCCTTGTCTTTTTAACTCTTTGCAACATCCTCCCCTGTTGCTGCCCCCTTCTCCCTCTCCTTCCACATCTCTTCATTCTTTTCGTTGTGCCTCCTTATTCTCCCCCCCCCCTCCCTCCTGCCATGTCTTTGTGCTTTTCTGTGACCTCCACCAATGTGTGTCCCACCCCTTGTCCTGTCCTATGGCTCACGTCCTGGACCTTCACCTCTGACCACCTTTGTCCCCGATGACCTGACCCGGGGCTGAAGGTAACACTTTTCTGCTATCCCTTGTGCTTGGGTTTAAACAGAAAGTTAAACAAACTGCTGATTCTATGGGAAATGTGTTTGTTGGTCAAAGTTTCAAAATGTGTTCACACCCCCATTCACTAACACTTCAAGGTGAAAGTGTTTTCGAATGTGCAGAGTTTCTCTTCACCACTCTGCTAACATTCTCATTGTTTGGCATTCTGATTTTAAAGGGTTGAGGTCAAGTTGTGATACAACACTATTACATGTGTTTAACATTTGATGAGGAAATGTCTGCAATTGTCCTGATTTTGCTATGTATTCTGGATGTTATTTCTGATGCAATGTTGTTTACATCTTACAACACACTCCCCTCTATCCCTCAGACTTTATTTTTATGTTCTGGCCTTAGGGCATTTGACATATTTTTTTCAAAGGAGGTATTTTAAAATGACACCATTTTAATCATAACATTTGATGTAATTTTGTGTCTTCTTAAAGCTAAAGTGCATTTCCAACTACACACCACGCTGTAGTCTCTTTACCATGCCTCAGAGTTATGCTCTCTTCGTTCTCTAACCTTTCTCTTCCTCTGGCCTTCCTGTAAGCACGGCCTTGGATAGGAAAAAAAGTGATAAAGCAAAGTTCACGAGAGAGAAAGGAAGTGAACATGTGCAGTGGACAATGCATGTTCTGACCTTTACTGGTGTGTGGAGGGAGCTTTCTCTCCTTAATCCTCATAGTCTGTGATTCATGCAGACGTGAGCAACAACCTTGGCTCTTAACTGTTTTTCTGATTACTCTTAAGTTATTTTCCCACTATCGCATGATATTGAAAAACTCATGTTTCAGTGCCAATTTGTGACAGTTACTCAGTTTAGTTTAGTTTAGTTTATTTTATTTTTTTCGAGCGTGTAAAACCAAAGAAAATACAAATGAAACAAAAGGTGATACAGACATGATACAGTACTATACAAATGAATGCAATAACAAAACGAACATTTAATTAATAATTGAATAATCTGCAGTATCATTGTCTGATATCAATAAACAATAAACAACAAAGCTTTAGCTAATTACACGTCCGAAAAGGGGTCGGAAGAAGTTTACACTTATTTAATCCGACCCCTTCTCCCTTTTTTATTTTCATTTTTATTTATTTTTACATCTTAATATATGTTAACATACAATATAAACGTATACTTATAATCTTGAATAATTTATATAATCATTCATATAATATATACAGGCAAGTTAGGACAATGGTCTCTATATATTTATATATATATATATATATATATATATATACATACACAAATTCATACAAACACAAATTCATAAATAAAATACAAAACAAGAATATAAACAGTTATGGTTTAGCAGTTTCATCCCTGTACCTTGTGAGAATTGTGTCTTTATACCTCTTTTTGAATAGTTTTATGTTTGAACATCCCTTTAGCTCCTCACTCAACTTGTTCCAGATCTTCACCCCACAAACAGAAACACAAAAACTTCTCTTTGTTGTGCGCACCCTAACATTAGTGAATATAAATGAACCCCGTAAATAATGATTCCCTTGTCTTTCATTGAACAATATCTGAATATTCCCAGGTAATTGAACATTTTTTGCCTTAAACATGATTTGTGCGATTTGGAATTCAACAAGATCTGACAGTTTTAATAATTTTAGCTCTAAGAATAATAGGTTTGTATGATCCCTATAGCCGACATTTTTAATAATTCTTATTGCTCTTTTTTGTAGAATAAATAGAGATTGTGTTGTAGTTTTATACAACTCACGTTAGGTTTAAAAGACCATTCCTACTCGCAGTGATCCTAGTTAAAGCATAGGTACCTACCAAAGAATTGCCCCTCGAAAGTGGCATCAGTTTGTAATACTTTGTTGAATTTTGGCTCCGCAAATGTGAGGATCGAGGGAAATATTAGATTAGTATATCAGCACTCTTCAAAATTAAACTCTCAATGCAGGTTACGCAGAAAACTGAGATTAGACCTTAATCTCTGCTGTGGAGAAATGAAATGACTGCAGGAGCAATATCAAAGTCAACTCAATCATTAGACTACAAATCTTTATGTGAAATGATTTGCAGTGTGAATATAAACTTGCTTTTTCATAACAAAAATAAAATATAAGTATTCGACATACTTATATCATATTTTTCTCCTTCTTCCGCCACAAATCAAAACGTGCGGAATGACCGGGATCGGGTTGCTATGTCTTTTATAAGAGATTCGCCTAGCCGTTTTTCACGAAAATTGCAGAAAACTGCGATCATTTACCCCATAGGAATGAATGGGAAATCCATTTGAACAGAGCTCAAAATCACCCCACTTTGACCCCATACAGATTCACAAAAACAAAAAAATTACAAGTTCAAACGGTTATCGAGACTATGGACTTTATTAGACTAGTTGGATATTTTTTGATAGCTAGTATGGTTCTCACGTAGTCGCAGCTTACGTTTAGTGCAAATGTCACACTGTTCCACATTTTATAACGGGTGTGTATGGGAGAGCTCGTTAAGACTTAGTGACATCAGAGGGGAGAGGAGCTGGAAAATCTGAACAGTTTTTTTTCCAACTATTTCTCACCTGGCCACAATTTTTACTCTTCATACTGTCCATAATTTGGTGATCATAATGTAGGGAAACGGACTTACACATATAGCAAACACGAGAGTCATCAGGTGTGTACATCTGGCATCCTAAATACTCTGGGTAGGATATTTAGCTGATTGGAGTTACAGTTTTTTATTTAGAAGCAATAATGCAGCACAATATTGTCAATACATTCTCTGACAGACTGTCTCTCGTTCACTGGCAGGGTGTTGCCGTGGAAACGCTTTGATCTTTGAACACACCTGTTGGTCGTTAACTAAGGTGCCGTTTACACGAGGACAAAACTGCTTGTATCTGCATAGTTTCTCTTGCGTATAGCCCTATTATTTACATGAGGCCGATAGAAACGGACCCCACAAGCGATAACGGTCCCAAGGTGGATAGATTTGCAAACGAAACTCTCTGGGGGGTCAAACGAGTCCGTGTAATCGCCTCTATACGAATATTTCCTGAAAAAATAACGATAGCCCCACCTCTCCTGCTCACTGCTGTAGTATGGCCAGTAGCCATCTGTAACGATCAACTATCAAAAATAGCTGTGTTAATTAAACGCACAAGGGGTTCTTGAATGAAATAATATTATAAAAGGCAAACCAGAATTGTTAACGCCCAATATACTCCTTAAACAAAATAAACAGAGTCAGATTTCATGCATTGATCCATTATATTGACAATTTTCCAGCCAAACAACACAAACAAAATTAAACAGTCCACTCTGCGATACACCAAACTTGTCTTTACTGCCTAATCCAGGCCATTATTGTTCATTGCTCCTGCGCCCATCGGCGGCAAAAAGAGAAATGTTTGTAGGCCTATTCAGGCTATAATCCACACAAAAAAAGGAAACACGAGGACCGGCGTGTCCCAGAGGAGCGATCTCACCCGGTGTTTGTAGAGAATATCTCTCTTTCTGAGCGCGTCCTCTGCACAGAGACGTGCTTCTTGGTCGGTCGATGCAATATCCACAGATTCGGTTTCTTTCAGTTAACTTCCCCGTTGCATTTATCCATATATTTACATGCTGAGGAAATGACTATATCCCGCTGAATACCAGCAATCGCCACACACACTTCCTCCTGTCAGTAGCTAGTGCTACTGCTACTGACCATACTACAGATGTTAGTGCAAAATCTACAGCACCTCTACCACAACCATCAGCAACAAGTGGACATGGAGAATTACATGAACTACATGTTGCTAAATACACCGCGGGGCATAAACAGAAGGGTAGCCATGGCAACATTGCTCTGGGCTGCTCCAGGGTCTTCTTCGCTGCTTTTGGTGTATTTTGTGGCGGAAGTTACAGCGCCACTTACAGTCCCGGCATATGTACTACAGCGTGTCCAGCGTTTCCAGCGGTCTCGTTTGAACAGACACGTTAAATGAAACGAATGCATGTGAACGGAAGACTTTTTTGAAAACGCATACTGTGCATAAACGCAAACGTTCCCGTGTGCACAACGCCTACATCCAGTGATAATCTAAAGATGTTCAGAAACGATGTGGTACAAGAATCCAAAAATGTAAACAGTTAAAATAGTCAGCTAAAAGTGAGCTAAAATGTATGGATATTATTTGTTGTACCTTAACAATACAACTAATGCTATTAATACTTACTCAGCGGGGGTAATGTTAGCATCGGGAGACAATTAGGACATTTTCTATTACATATTTATAAGGATACAGTGATAAAGTGATGACATTTTGTACCAGTTCAATGCTCCTTTACTCCTCAACACATGTCTTTTTCCACGGCATACATTCACTGCCACCAGCAGATGAATCATGACCATAATCCCTTCATCTTTATGCAGCCTTTACTCTTCCATCGTATACGATCGTCCACGACCTGCTGACCCCTGTCTGTAGCCCCCCCTTAACAAGGCTCACTGTTTACTCTATCCACTCCCATGTAGCAATACAAGCACACACCAGTGTAATAGAACATACCAGAAGAATGAGAAATCTGACA